TTTTTTTTTTTTTTTTTTTTTTTTTTTTTTTTTTTTTTTTTTTTTGGTACCGGGGATTGAACTCCTTGCACTTGGGAGGCAGGAGGCAGAACTGCTGAGCTAAATCCTCCCCCCACCCCAGCTGGTTCTTTAAATGCAAATGATAGAGAAACTGGTTGTAAAGGCTAGGGGACAGGGCACTTCACATTGACCCAGGGACGGGGAGGCTGTGGCATGGTGCTGCCCCCTGATGGCAGCACACACTGACTGCAGAAACTTCAAGGCAAACAGATGAATTATAGGAGCCTCTTTTTCCTATATAAACATATACTTTTTTTTCAAATTTCCAAAATGATCATGTAGTAGACTCTTAGCTGCACTGAGATCAATTTTCGTCCACCACTTCTTTGTTTATTTGTTATGGGGTCTCACTATGCTGCCCAGGCTGGTCTCAAAAGATCCTCCTAGGTCAGCTTCCCGAGAAACTGATACTACAAGTGTTGGCACCACGCCTGGCTGAGCCCCTCGTTTTAAATACAGGCAGTGTCTGAGCCCATGTTGACTCCTGTTCTGTCCTCACTGACTCTCCTGTCCCAGGAAAGACCCCAAACCTCAGCACATCCCTGCAAGTGGCACTGTGACTGCCACGTCATGTGAGGAAACTGCAGCTCCAAGAAGGAAAGGACTCCCTCGGCGAGGAGGCTAGGACGAGCCCTGGATCCCAAAGGCCTGGTGGGTCCCTGGCAACCAGCTCCAGCCCCCAAGTTTCGGTGACTACAGCCAGGAGCAAAGGGCTCATGGTAGGAGCTGGAGCCTGGGAAAGGGTGTCTCCAACTCTTTCACCCAGTCTCTGAGACCAGGGCCACCTTAGGGTCCCCCAACCCTAGATGGCTGAGCAGAAGGAGACCTGGGACAGATTCAGGAAGTGCACTTGGAATGTTATCTGCAGTAGGGCCTGCCAGTGTATCCACAGCTCTGGGAGGCCAGGGTGTGGCCTAACCTCTGGAGACAGGTGACCCTGGGCCTAGGACAGGCTGTCCCGCCTCCACAAACAAGGTGATGATCATGCCTACATGCAGGGCTGTACTGTGACAGGGACAGTCTGGGGAGGGAGTGGTTGGCAGCTGTTTACCCGGCCTTTGTGCCCATTCCACACATGTAGACACTAAGGTTCCCAGTGAGACCAGCCTCCTTCAGCACTGCAGGGTGAGCCTGGCTGTGGGTCAGGGTCAACACTGCCTGACTGGGGCTGCTGCCCACCTAAGATGGGCTGGGCCTTCTCACCCATAGGCAGGGAAGTGAATGGAAAAAAAAGCAACATTTTGACCTCTGGAAGATGCACAGTGCGGAGCTGCCGTGTGGCACCGGGATGACACTGGGCCTGGACTGCTGATCCCTCCTTGCTCAGCCCTCCCAGTTTGCTCCTGCTCTACTGTCATGCTACTGTATGCTGCCACGTGTTGCCACATGTTGCCATGGGTTGCCTCCTAGAACCTTCCCACCAGCTCTGGCAGGGGCCAGCAGGCATGATGACATATGGAGAAACTGAGGTACAGACCTGGGACCATTCTGGGCCATTCCAAAGAGACAGCTTTAAGCGCAGGCAACCTGAGAGCCCAGCCCAGGTGTGTCACCTGCAAGCTACCCTGAAACATCAGGTGTGCCATCCTGAGATGACCGAGGGCCAGCAGCCAGCTCCTCCCAGCACACAAAGAGAGGGAACCCGAGCAGTGTGTGGGGTACCCCCACCCCTCACCTCCTCAGCACCTGTTCGGCCTCCTTGTTGGTGAGGACCTGTGGGTAGTAGCGGTTCAGCTGAAGGACGATTCTGTCCACCTGCTGCTCACTCAGGCGCCCCTGGCCCGTCAGGTATGGTGTGTCCTGCACCAGGCGGTCACAGTAACTCTGTTCTGGAACAGACACGGGGAGTGCTGGGCATGAGCCAGTGCAAGCCTAAGGGGCACCAAAACCAGCAGCCGTGGAGGCCCCACGCCTGCAGGAGAGAGACAATCTCTGGAAGGCACCTGAAGAATTGTGATATCCTACAGGGACAACTGCCCCAGCATGCCAACCCACTTGGGCAGAAGATGCAAGTGGGCAGGAGGTGCAGCAGGAATCCAGAAATGGCTGCACTCCCTGCCCTCTCTTCTATACCCAAGAGCTGATCACAGAAAAGAGACTTTCAGGGGTAAAGAATATACCTTCTACAGGGCCACCCACAGGGCGGGGTTCCCTGAAGGCCAGGACATGGGCTCTACAGCTCCCCTCAGCCACAAAGATGCAGAACACAGGGCTCAGTGTGACCTATGCCAGCATCAGCAAGGGACAAGGCATGTCTGGAAGGCTTTAAGAAGCTTCTGCCAGCCGCAAATTGGCATACCTTCCCAGGGAGTGGGCTGTTTCTTTATCTTAACTCTCACCGAGTCACCCCTAAAGCACATCCTCCCCTTAAGAATGCTCTGTGGACAGGCAGGTCTGTCACGCTGAGGGCAGCGTGGAGGTGGGCAGGCAAAGGGAGCACAGGACCCCCATGGGAGTCAAACAGGTACCTTGCCCTATGTATCTCCAGCCATGTGTCCTATTGCCCCAAGCACACAGGGGCTGGAGGAAAGGACTTGGGGCTTCGTTACTACGCTATTTATTTATGTGATTGAGGTTATGTTGGTATCAATTCAAATGAGATTGTTATAATCTTAGGATACGATATATAATCTTCATGTTAATCACAAAGAAATATCTATTGAATATAAACAAAATAAGTAAGAAATGAGAGAATGAGAATCCATTACTACAAAAAAAAAAAATCAACTCAACACCAAAAAGGGCAGAAATGAAAGAAATCAGGGTCCAAAAAGCCATAAGACATACAGAAAATGCTGTCTACAAGAGACTCATTCTAAATCTAAAGACATGATTAAGTTAAAAGTGAAGGGCTGCAAGAGGGCCAGGGATTTAGCTCAGTGGTGCTGCTGCCTGCTTTACAGGTGCAAGGATTCGAGTTCGATCTCCAGTACCAAAAAAGAGAAGGGATGCAAAAAAAAGACATTCCATGTAAGTAATAACCAAAAGAGTAGGATGACTACACTAATATCAATTTTTAAGCAAAACACTGTTACTAGAAAAAATACATTATATATTAATAAAAGGGTTAATTAACTAAGAATATATAATTATAACAATTACAAATATAGGCTGAGGCAGGAAGTCACAAGTTTAAACCCAGTCTTGGCAATTTATTGAGACCCTGTCTCAAAATAAAAATAAAAAGGGCTGGAAACATAGCTCAGAGGTACCGTGCCTGCCTAGCATATATGAGGCCCTGGATTCAATCCCTAATACCACTGAAAAGGGGGTGGAGAAAGAAGAAGAAGAGGAGGCAGAGGAAGAGGAGGAAGAAGAAAGGGAAGGGAAGGAAGAAAGGAAAGGACAAAAAGCACATAAAAAGATGCTTAACTACTAGTCATCAGGGAAGTACATACCAAAACCACGAGGAGATACCACTTCATACTCATTCGGATAGCTATATATTAAAATTGCAAGTGTTGAGGAAAAAGTGATAAACTCTTGTGCATTGCTGGTGGAAATGCATCATGGTACAGCCACTGTGGAAAAGAGGATGGCGGTCTCAAAAACTTAAACATTAGACTTATCACAGGATCCAGCAATTCCACGTCTAGATATATACCTAACCAACTGAAAGCAGATACTCAAAAATACCAGCGTGCCAGTGTTCATAGCAACAGTATTCAAAATAGCCACAAAATGGAAACAACTCACTCAAAAGATAAAGGGGTTTTCATGATGTAGTATATACATATGTACAATGGGATGCTATTCAGCCATGGAAAGGGATGAAATTCTGACACATGGATGTTACAGCCTGGATGAACCTTAGTGTAGTAAGCCAGGCACAAAAGGACAAACATATGATCTCATTTAGATAGCATGCTAAAAATACTCAAATCCATAGAGATAGGGCGTAAAATAGATGTTACCAGGAGCTGGGTACAGAGAAAGAAAGGAGAATTACTGTTTAAGGAGTAAGTACAAGTTTCTGTTTGGGATGACGAAAAAGTTGTCGGAATGAAAAGTGGCAACAGCTATCCAACATTGTAAATGTACTTAGTGTCACCAAAATGGTTAAAATGTTATATTCTGCATATTTAACCACAATAAAGATGAATAAATTATGGTTTATCTATATAGTGAATTCAGCACTAAAAAGAAATGAGTTGTTAAGCCACAAAAAGACAAGGAAGAGTCTTAAATGCACATTTCTAGTGGAAGAATTCAGTCATACAAACCATATGATTCTAATTATCTGACATTACTGAGAAGGCAGTACCATGAAGACAGTAAAATACGTGGTTTCTGGGGAGGAGGTGGGATGAGTAAGTGGGATTCAGGCAATTTTTAGAACAGCGAAGACTTTCTATGTGATATGGTAATGGTGAATAAGGGACATTATGCATTTATTGAAGCCCACACCACATACAACTTAGGGAGTGAACCCTAATTTCAACTCTGAACTTCAGTTAATCATAATGAAGTAATACAAGTTGCTAAAAAAAAATAGGGAAAATGGAAAGGAGCAGTACACAGGACCCTCTGGACTATTTGCTCCATTTTCTATAAACTAAAATGGCTCCAAAAATAAAGTCATGGAGATGGGCCCAGCTTATTTGGAGGCTGAGGCAAGAAGTTCGCTTGAGCCTAGGAGTTCAAGGCCAGCCAAGAAACACAATGAGACTGTTTAAAAACAAATAAGTAATAAAGCCAGGAGTGGTAGTATACACCTCTAATCCAGCACTTGGGATTCGGAGATAGGAGAATTTCAAGTTCAAGGTCAGCCTGGGATACAGAGTGAGACTCCATCTCAAAATATGAACCAATAAAAATAGTAAACGAATAAATACATAAATAACAAGATGTCTACTAGTTAAGGAGAATATCTATTTGGAAAATTCAATTGTTTATTTTAAAAATGGGGGTCACAGAAGACAGATTAACCCTTAACTTGGGCAAATTACGTGGGAAGGGTCACAAAGGACCTGAGTGACAGAATGTCCTGTCTTGATTCTGTCTGGGCTTTTCACAGGTATACACATTTGTCAGAATTTATCAAACTGTTCACTAAAAATGAGTACATTTGCTCGTCAGTAGATCACACTTGTATGGTAGACCTTTTACAAAATAGGGTTATCACATTGCAAAAGGTGGCCTCTTCTCTGGTTTCATCCTCGGGGCACTGACTCAACAGGCTTTTGTCCTTCTCAGGCCAGGTGTGGTGGGTAGTCTGGCTCGAGCGCCTGCACTGTCTCTCACCTGAGAGCTGAGATGAATCCCCGTGGAATTTAGGGAGCAATCCCATGTGCCAGGCATTCAGCAAGCCACCTATAACCCACATTCCTCCACCAGCTCTGCAATGTGAGTACAACTACCACCTTCATTTTCAGATGTGGAAACTGGGGCACAGCAAGGAGATAAAGTACCTGTTCAAGACTGCAGCCAGCCAGGAAGCGGCAGATCTGAGGTCAGAACCTAGGCGTAGCTGTGTTGGGGTCACCTCTTGACATCCAGGCTGTCTGCCTCTCCTGTTAGCATACAAGTCAACTGTGTAATCTCAGGTGCATGGGTCTGCTCTCTGCCAGACAGGAGCGAGCTGGAGGCTGCCTGTCTAGCACTGTCTCCCCAGTATGTATATGCACAGGGCTGTGCACACAGTTGACATGCACGAATGAGATCTGGAATGAGTGGGTGCTGGTCCAAGGCCCAAGGGCGAAGTCTGTTGGTGAACAGTAGCCAGTGCCCTGCAGTGGCTTCCTCCTACTTGGTGAGCCGCTAGGCCAGCTGGGCCTCTGCTGCCTGCAAACCATGAGTCACAGGAGGCCTGAGTCACCTGGCACGGGCAGCATAACCCAGAGGCTGAGGCCGGCTGTGTGGCTCCAGGGCTGTGCCTTCCTGCAGTTCTAGTGAGCTGTGCATGCCAACCACACACAGGCAGTCACCGGGAGACACAAAAAGACCCAAACAAGGTCCACGCCTTGTGCTAGGCCCTGGTAAACAAGGCCAGAACTGTTTTCATGGGATAAAGGATGGATTTCTCTGCACAAAACCCATAAGCCCTTGCCAAGCCCACACCCTCCCCCGCTCCCAGTTGGAATCAGGACCATGAATCCCAACCTTGGCACCCTCACCTGAACCTCCTGAACCCAGACCAAAGCCTTCAGCCTGGCATTTGAGGCCCTGAGGCATCTAGCCCCAACTGTCCTCACTCAGCCCCCCAGTACAGAGTCTTCCTCCATGGCAGCCCCAACCCTGCCACACTATCTGGTACCTAGGTCCCAGTCTGGGAACACCTGATTAATTTGTACCCAGACGATTGTTCTCCTCCCCAAAAGCTTCCCTGAATCCCCAGGCCCACCTATTCCACAGCACATGAGGCAAGTCATTTCTTGAGCATGTGCTCTGTGCAGACACCATCCTCAGTGTTTGTCAGCAGTGGTTCACACACACATTCATTGGCAGAAAGGATTGGTGGAGGCAGGCCCCAAGTCCACACAGAGGGGCAGTGAGCCCAGGACCAGTCTTCAGCCCTGCAAGGCTGCCCCCCCCCACAGGCCTGGGTCTCCATTTCCCACCCCAAAACGAAAGTCTAAGAAGTGTCTAGAGGTCCAGTTAGTAGGTGATAAGGAGAAAGGGTGCACATTTCCACAGTCAGACCCTACAGAACCCCTGCCTGGCTGTGTGGTTTTACACAGTAAGCCTGGAACTGTCTGCTCCCCTAGGGTGGGCTGCCTCAGACTTGGCAAACATCGGGTCCTGGATGGCCCCTCGGAGGCCAACACAGCTCTGAACACATCCTGGTGATTTCTCTAAAAAAGCTGGGAAATTGGGGTCTGGGCAGAAGACAGACATACTAGGGCCAGGTCTCATGCTGCCTCGGCCACTGGACAGCAGAATGGCCTGGGGCACGGGTCCCATCTGAGACCGTCTCCTCATCCATACACAGACATGATATTTCATATGTCCCCATTCAGGACCAGAAGTGCCCCACACAGGGCCTGGTGCACAGTAGGTGCTCAGAAATGGTGGTCCCAAGTAAATGTTTGGAGAGAAATAAAGGGGAACAGGTGGCAGCTGGGGTCTCTTTTGGCCGGGTCCCACCAGGTTCCCTTCGAGAACCTATTTCTGTGTGGGACTCAGGTCTAGACTCCATTGAGTTCAGAGAGAGGACTGGAGACTCATGGGACCACCCTAATTCCCTGGGCAGAGAGTGAGACACTCAGGAAGGTGTGGCCCAATACCCTCAAGGGTTTCTCTTCAAAGGGCAAAACCCAAAGAGCAGGGTCGCCCTGCTTAGGGGCATCAGGAAGATGGGCAGATCCCCAGACCAGACAGGCTGGTGAGAGGGTGGTTGATGATGGAGCCCAACAGCCTTGGGATGTGGGGAATCCAGTCGCTGTTCCGATTGCTCTAGACCCGTCTGGGATAGGGATGTGCGCGGCTGGAGTCCCGTGGGCCCCTGAGGTAAGGGAGGGAAGCGAGGCGCTGGCGTCCAGGGGGTATCACAGCCACCCCAACTCGCAGCACGAGTCCCGCCTCTTCGCGGAGCTACTGGGGATGTGCGTAGCATCTCCGTGCCAGGCCCTCCGCCCCGAGAGCACCATTTCCTACTCTCAGACCTGAGCCCATCCCGGACTCCGCCCTGACCCACAGCTGCAGTGGTCTGGCCGCCGCAGCGGTGCACCTGCGCCCGAACTCACCTGTGGCCTTAGCTCCACGACCTGACCCCGTGCCCCGACAGC